TCACATTTATCGTCAGAATTGACGGTTCTATGGTGTAATGGTCAGCACTCTGGACTCTGAATCCAGCGATCCGAGTTCGAGTCTCGGTAGAACCTTACTTTTTTTAGAAAATATGTTTGTGGTTTCTGTAAACAGCACAACAGCAGAGCAATGATATCAAACCGTAAAAATGATAACCGTCGCCGATAGGATTCGAACCTATGCGGGGAGACCCCAATGGATTTCTAGTCCATCGCCTTAACCACTCGGCCACGACTACTTTTGAAGTGCGGTCGCAATTGCGTAAGTGGTCGTACGAGCGCCTTTACACAACTGACACAGTGGTCTTAATTGCAGGTTTCATCGAAAAATGGAAAAAGGTTTCCGAGCTTGCCAGGATTCGAACCTGGAATCTCCTGATCCGTAGTCAGGCGCGTTATCCATTGCGCCACAAGCCCTAACACAAGCGCCAGTTGTCCTTTGTGATCTCTTACCGGGACCTCTGAAATGGTATCTGTTTTTTTTGGCGGCAAGATTCCTTGCAACGGTACTACATGCCCGGCTAGCTCAGTCGGTAGAGCACGAGACTCTTAATCTCGGGGTCGTGGGTTGGGCGATGTTATTTTTCCTGTCGTAATCAAACTTTTTTGAAAATTTCTGTGCCCTACAACTCTCAGAGTGCTGACAAGCAAACATTTTAACGAATTGGAGTAACCTGGTTTCGTGGTGTAGTGGTTATCACGTCAACTTGGGTAAAGCCGCAAGGAATAAAATCAATAAGAAAGTTGCGTAGGAGTTCAATAATATTTTGTAGATGTGGACATGAAGTAAATAAATGTTGCATGTCTTCAATATTATTTTGATTACATAGTTGGCACTGATTGGAATCCAAAGTCCCATATCTAAGCAGTTTTTCGTTAGTAAATATAATGTTGTGTGCAATTTTGAAATCATTTACAATGCAATCGTTACTTTTTAGGGGGATGAAGATATTCGGCCATACATGATTGAAATTTATATGAGGATATAGATGATTCCAAAATTGCACTGAAGTACTAGGCTGTGAAATAGTACTTCTTAAAGTATTATAGAAGGATTTAGATTTACTATTAATGATATTAACCTCGGTGTCATTGATCAGCAAGTACAAATTCTTGTCACTTTCATAGGTGTGGCTTTGGGTATTTACTACCTCTATCCATTCTTTTGGAATGGAGTTTAGAATAATATTATATTGACGTTCAATGGCATTGGGGTTAAAATCCATTCCTTCACTTTCAGACTTCCGGCTGAGCTTTGCAACTGAACGGTCGATGTTTACGTCGCTCCGAAGATCAGCCAGCCATGACTTGGCGATTACTATAGTTCAACTGTAGTCGCCCTTTGTTTGTGTTTGTTTACGAGACGGAGAAAATGACTAAAGAAATGGATACCAAACAGAATTTCAAAAATAGGACTATTAATGTGGATCTTTATAGTGATACTAAAATTATAGATGTAATTAAAGAAGTAGAAGAGATAGTTGGAGAACATAGTGTGATTTATGCTTGCCCTATACAAGGTAATTTAGAGCTAACCTTTGATTCAATCGATAGACTTAAACATCTAAATGAAACACCCATTATAGTTAATAAGCAAGAACTGAAATATACACCCGTTGGCTTCAAATACATGATTGTTTCGTTTATGCATATCCCTTGCTATATATCCGATCACGAACTTTTAGCGAAACTAAAAGGTTGGAATGTAAGGCCGTTGGGCGAGGTTAGACGCCGTCATATGAAATATGGAGATCGAGAGATTCCAGATGGCACTAGATATGTGAAGTGCGAATTCCCCCCTAATGTGAGCAGTCTGCCGTATGCGACTTTGCTTGATGGTAAATCCTTTATCATCAAACATAACAACCAATCTAAAGTCTGTTTTGGATGCCTTAACCCAGACCATGAAGTTAAGAATTGTCCTGAATCTTTGTGCAAAAGGTGTGAACAAAAAGGCCATATAAGGAAATTTTGTGAAGAGAGTCTGTGCGTGAACTGTGGTGAATATAACTACTTGTGTAAATGTGCTACTAACGATCTAGACGCTGAACTGAACTTAACCCGTGAACCTAATCCTAATCAAATTAAAGAGACCTTATCACAAAATACTGAATCGAACACTTATGACGACGATGATACTATTACCTCCCATCCTACCTCTAGTGAAACCACAATAGACAGATCAAAACCTCAAAAAAGAACCCAGATAGAAATTATAACACCTCCTAAGAATGAAAATAAAAAAGGCAAAACGTACAACCAGGAAGATGCCAGTGCTAGTGACGATGAAACTATGAATTATGATACTAATTCCTCCCCTGTTCCCAACGTGAATGATGAATCCCACCCTGATACCTGTGATACTGATACCTCCCGCCCTGAAAAACCTACACTTAAAAACATTCCTAGTAAATACTCTCTGCCCCCCAAACCCAATACTTCAAGTTCAACCCTTAAAGAAAAATTTGCTAGCTCAATTAAAACTCTCGAAAATATCGATAACATAGTGACCAAAAGAGAAATGTTTCGAAAGGAGTTGACCGATCCCCGCTCTGTCCTCAATACAAGAAATCGCTTCAAAGTAGATCCCGTTAAACCAAACTTAAATGCTGTAAGAAAATCAAAAAGTGGCGAATCCCTAGTTTAACCCTATTCAACCTCCAGTTAACCGAACATGAAACTTGTCTCTTTTAACGCAAATGGACTCAAAAACCCACTAAATATTCAGAATTTATTTACTCTATTTATTTTTCTAAATTTTGATATTATACTCCTACAAGAAACCTTTTGGGATGAAGAAACTATTAACTATTGTAAAAAATTATGGAAAGGTAAAATTGTATATAACAATTCAACAGACAATCGAAAAGGTGTAGCCATTCTTGTAGTTCATAAATTTGCAAATAAAATAAATACTGAAACCAAAGATGACCAGGGACGAATTATAAAAATTAATATTACAATAAACAATCAAAATTTAGATATTCTCTCTGTTTACGCCCCAAATAACTACAATGAAAGGATACACTTTTTCGATATTCTAAAAAATAATTATATAAGTTTTAATCAACCTTGTATCTTAGGTGGTGATTTTAATGAAATTTTAGACGTAAATAAAGATAGATGTAAAAAGATGCATACAATAAAAAAAAGTTCCATCTCATTTAATAATTTTGTAAATAATAATAATTTGATTGACTCTTTTAGATATTTTAATCCAAATAAACAACATTTTACCAGAACACAAGACAGAGATGGCTCTTTAAAACTAAGTAGAATTGATTATGTATTTTTTAGTAATTGTATTTCTAATTTTGCCAAGTACTCTTTTATACAACCATGTAGTTTTTCAGATCATAACTTCATTGTATGCATTTTTAATCGCCAATCATTTTGTGGTGGGACACCCTTAAATATCTCTTTGAAAAAATCATCTAAATATTCTAAACAGAAAGCATAAAAAAAGAAAAACCAGAATTTTGGAATTTATGTAACAATTTACTAAAAGAACAGGAAAAAGCACTTTATTCAAGACCTAGAAAGTAAGATAGGGGTTGTCTTGGCTGTCTCAATAGCGCAGCGGATAGCGCTGTATTTCGAATCCAGACGTCGCGGGTTCGAATCCCGCCGGAGATGAAATTCAGAAAATATCTCAATGAAAAAAAAAAGATCTCTGGCTCCTATGGGGCTCGAACCTATGACATCCGCATTATTAGCACGGCGCTCTAACCGACTGAGCTAAGGGGCCATTGCCGATGGACGATGAAATCTTTTTAGAGTTATAAATAGTCTGGTCAATATATTCGACAAAGGATAAACATTTATCGACAGTTATCCATTGCACCACAAGCCCGAACACGTGCGCCATTTGTCTTTTGCGATCTCTTTTCAGGAAGTGTCTAATGTTACAAGATTTTTTGCTGGCAAGATTCCTTGCAACAGAGCTATATGCCCGGCTGGCTCTTTTTATAAATACAACTGTCGGAGTGCTGGCAAGAAAGCATTTTAACGAGCAGACATAACCTGGTTTCCACCCTCCCCGATTTCTAAATAATTTAATTTACTATCTTCTGTTTAAGAAATAAGAAAGGGAAGAAGCAAATAAGTAAGAAAATGTACCGATGAGTGAGGAAAAGTGTAAGGAATATGATGGCCAGGCTGATAGATTTGTTACCTGCCCTCAGCTAAGCCCTAACCCCCAGATTTGCAAGTTTCGGCCTATACGTTACTCTGGCCAAAGCAGTTCTATGGTGTAATAGATAGATCTCTGGACTCCACTTCCGGTAGTCGAGCTAGTAAGACATGTTGCACATCGCTCTAGGATTTACCCAAAATGGATTACCACAACTAACTTGAGTTTATATTTTGTTTATATAGAAGCGATTTGTGTTAATTAACTTTATATTAGTGATAATGTGTATGGACCCAGCCCCTTTGTGGCGTTAAGGCCGGCGTTGAACCCCTAACCAGGGAAACCTGGAAGGAGAATACGCTTAAAATACCATGCGATATATTTTTTTTTTTCAAACTTGTGTAGAAAGAGAAGGAAATATGAAGTTACAATGATGGAACAGTCGGACTTGGGAAAAATTCAGAAAACGGTATACAGATCCAAAATAAAAGACTGGCTTGCTATAAGATATAGATATGGTATGTTAGAATTCTTAACCTGCTATACTACATTGAGGACAAAGCAATCATTGACAAATGTATAAATGGAACATTAAACTAGAGGGCAGAATTCACGAACGCATTGACTCCACTAATGGCTGAAATTGAAGATATTGTTGGTGAAAACTCAGTGATTGCTGCCTGCCCAACAACAGGTAACATGGAAATAACTTTTGATATCATTGAACGCTTAAAACATCTACTAAACAAACCTATAGTTGTGCACGATAAAATTCTCTCATATACTTTAATTGGATCCAAGATTATGGTCGTATCCTTTATGAATATTCCATGCTATATCCCTGGTAGTGAAATCTTAACTAAACTTCCACAACGGAACGTGATACAACTTGGCAACTTAGACATAGGGCAATACAAGTATAGAGACATACCCGAAGGAACCCGCTTCATTAAATGTGAATTCCACCTTAGGTAACAAGCCTCCCGTATGCAACATTTTTTGATGGCAGATCATTCACTATAAAATATAATAACCGACAAAAGTTTGTTTCGAATGCTTTAACCCCGGTCATGATATTAAGGACTGTGCAGTCACGATTTGCAGAAGGTGCAAACAATTCGGCCACATAAAAAAGTTTTGCATTGAAGAAGTCTATGACGACTGACTTCCGGTTGAGTATCTAAGCTAGAAAATCGTGTTTACGTCGTCTCCAGGATCTACTCAACCGTGAACATGATCAACAGTGAGGTTCTTCTCACTTAGTGAAAGCTACACACATTGAAAATGACTAATTCAATGGATATTAAACAATATTTCAAGAATAGGACTATTAATGTAAATTTATATAGTGATATAAGGATTATTGATGTGGTCAAAGAGGTAGAAGAAATTGTTTGGAAAAATAGTGTCATCTACGCATCTTTACAAGGTAATTTAGAATTGACTTTCGATCATACGGATATAATGCAACATCTGAATGAAAATAAGAACTGAAATTCACTCCAGGAGGTTTTAAATATGTGATTGTTTCATTTAGGTATATCCCAGTATATATTTCCGACAACGAAATATTTGCGAAGCTCGAAGGGTGGAAAGTGAAGCCGCTGGGTGAGATAAGGCATATGAATATCAAATACGAAGACAGAGAGATCTCCGACGGTACAAGATATGTAAAATGCGAGTTTCCCCCAAATGTTAACAGCCTCCTATATGCCACAATGCTAGATGGCAAATCGTTTAGAGTCAAGCACAACAACCAGACCAAAGTTTGTTTTGGGTGCCCTAAATCTCGATCATGAAATTAAGAACTGCCCAGGCTCAAAGTGCAAAAGATGCGGACAGAGAGGACACATAAAAAAATTCTGCGAAGAGAGTGTTTGTATTAATTGTGGTGAATACACTCACGTTTGCAAATGTATCTTTGAGCTCAAATCAACTAGCGAACCTGAACTAAAACGTATCCAACAATTAAATGAGTTAATTGAATCAAATACAACTGATATGACAATCGACGATAATACCCCCCGTAATATATTAAATGAAACTCCTATAGATAGAACAAAATCCATCAAAACAACTCAAACAAAAACTATAACTGCTCCGAAAATGAAAAAAAGGCAAAACTAATGATCTAATAGAAGATAATGACCAACACGAATCCATGAACAGTGATGCTGATTCCTCCATTGCTCCCAATATGAACCCCGAAACCCAACCCAATAGTCATGATTGTCTTACCCCACCTCCAGAAAAATCCAACCCGAAGAAAACACTTTCAAAATACCCCCTGCCACCTAAAGCAGCTTCCCGCAGCCCAACCCTGAAATGAAAACTTTAGAAAACTTAGACAATATAGTATCAAAACGTGAACTGTTACCCAGAGAACTTGTAGATACGCACTCATTCCTTTGCACCAGAAACCGCTTTAAAACAGACCCCATTAAACCTAATCTAAATGCTCCAAGGAAATCAAAAAGTGGTGAAAAAAAAACAGCAATATCCAGAGTTTATTTACATTATTTATTTTTCTTAACTTTAACATTATACTTTTACAAGAAACCTTTTGGGATGAAGAAACTACAAATTATTGCAAAAAATTATGGAAAGGGAAAATTTTATATAATAATTCAACAGGTAGCCATTCTTATAGCCAATAAATTTGCAAATGATATCAATACTGAAATCAAAGATGACCATGGACGAATTATAAAAATCAACATTACCATAAGCAATCAAAACTGAGATATTTTCTCTATTTATGCCCCAAATAATTATAATGAAAGGATACACCAGGATACACCTGTCCCCACTTTTGTGGTGGGACACCCTAAAATATCTCATTAATAAGGAATCAATCGGGTATTCCAAAGAAAAAGTTAAAAAAGAACAAAACAGGATTTTGGAACTTAAGTAACAATTTATTAAAAGAACAAGAAAAAGCAAGCAGAGGCCTTAATTATGATCCTGCCATCATTCAACTCCTAGAAAGTAAGATAGAGGTTGTCGAATCCCGCCGGTGATGAAATTCAGAACAAATCTCGATAAATAAAACAAAACAGATCTCTGGCATCTATTGGGCTCGAACCCATGACATCCGCGTTATTAGCACGGTGCTCTAACCGACTGAGCTAAAAGGCCATTGCCGATGGACGATGAAATCTTTTCAGAGTAATAAATAGTCTAAAGAAAAAGTCTTGTCGATATAGCACGAAACTCTTAATCTCGGGATCGTTGGTTCGAGGGAAAATATTATTTTCCTGTCGTAATCAAACTTTTCAGAGTGCTGGCAAGAAGGCATTTTAACGAGCAGAAGTAACCTGGTTTCCACCCTCGCCCTTTCTAAATAATTTAATTTACTATCTTTTGTTTAAGAAATAAGAAAGGGAAGAAGCAAATAAGTAAGAAAATGTACCGATGAGTGAGGAAAGGTGGCAAGGAATATGATGGCCAGGCTGGTAGATTTGTTACCTGCCCACAGCTGAGCCCTAACCCTAACCCCCAGATTTGCAAGATGC